CCATAGATATAATTGGTCGTCAGAACACAAACCGGTTAGACCCAATATTTCTACCCACACCCACTTTCTCCTCAGGGGGATCCTGCCCTTACCATGCTCCCCAATTCTCTTCTATCTAGGACCTCTTCCTTATTCAGTTAATTTCTCCTCAGAGACGTTTTCAGACAAATGAGCCCAAATTCATCATAATCCCTTATCTTTTTTCTCCCTTCCAACTCCTTTACAGTCATCTCAGTAAATTCTCCCTCTCTTAATTCCATTTGTGAATTTACGTAATGACGTGACTCAGAATTTAACAGCAATTCATACGATAAAATTGAATTGAGAAAAGGTAAGCCAAAAGTATGGAAATAAAATTGAACATCATTGAAAAATAGTGTCATGAATCTCTACAACTTCTGAAAATACCTAAAAGAATTTTTGGAAATACTTTCAGATTTTCTCTCCAGCTTCTCATTGTCCTGTAATTAAACTTTCTTTCCTTGAAACAGCAACATTAGAAATTTAAAACACAAATGCTGTCATTTTCTTGTGGCTAATTACTGCGGTAACCTTACTGTTCTTTATGTACTTCATGGAAAATATGTAGTATTTCAGCTGTAGGTTGGATTAATAGTCTTTGATAGACTAATGTGAAACTAACCGTCATTTACACTATTCCTATGAGAAAACATGGTCTAAGCAACCAAACTCACAAAGTTTCAGAAACATAAAAATCTTGCTTTTTAAAACATGGATATCATACGTGCCAAATCCAATGAAAAGAATTATCCAGAGTCTTCTGGCATAGTTTAAGTTAATTTTCTAAAAGTCTACATATTCTTTTTAGAGATTTAAAGTTGACCCCTGGAATTGAATAGTAAGTTATACATCTAAAGAAGCTCTTTCTGACACAGAGACCTGAGGAAGAAGAGAAATTACATAAGTGATGGAACATACTCATATATTAGAATCTGATGTGCATGCTTAGATTTTCTAAAGTAACTTCACCATTAAAGGGAAGGGAATCAGTAAGAGAATTAGAAACATTCCCTTTAAAATTTCCTAGCTAACTATAAAATGGACAGCTCCAACTTCAAGATGTTTTGTTCCTTTTTGATCACATCAAAGAATCTTCCAAATATTATCAAATTCCATTTCTAGATAGGAGAAAAAAAGCCTTTACTGTTTATAAGGCTTATTGCAACAACAGAAGTTCAGTTAATCTAAAACTGTGCAAAATTTTCTAAATAAAGATTTTGTACATAAAAGGCATTAATAAGAAATTAAAGGGTATTGTTCTGTGAATCCTCATATTCGAAATAGAGAGAGACAGAATATGCAACCAAAGAAACTAAGGCCGATTTTTAATTAGGTTAACATTTCCACCCTGATACAAAGTAAAACGAAAAGTTTCCTCATAGAGGATCAAAAATATGAGGGTTTTTCTTAAATAAATTTGGATTCAAATTCCATTTTACCATTTTTCTGCCTCAATGTACTATTTTTTATTTTCGAAATTTAGTAAAAGTACTGCAAAAGTACCATATACAAAATACACTTATTTACAGGTTGTTGTGAGTATAAATATAAAAAAAACTTACAAAATCACCCTTAACATTGCAATTAAACCTAGAAAGCCCTTAAAGAACATGCTTGTTGATTTTTAAATTATTGTTGGCACCAAGAAACTTATTTTTCTAGTACAGCACCTAAGAGCCTGACTATGGAACTAAAAACACAAAGCACCTTAAGTCAGTTCTGCATGAACAGGGAAAGTACTTTCCAGATAGCCTCATAAACAAATAGATATCCTAAGAATTCCTGACTTAGTTTCACTTATCTTAGGAAGGGCGGCTAAAAAGTGCCATTTAAAATTTTTAATAGTAATATGTATGTATGTGTGTATATATATATATATATATATATATATATATATATATAAAGTGCTTGAATAGTTGCCCTACCCACATAGATTGCATTGCAATTCAGAGTAAGAGCAATTCAGAGGTGAAATGCTGGCATGCAATATTAGAAACATAAACATATATTCAAAAAGACTGGCACATCCCTTAGCAAGTAATTCCCTTTGCTCATCATCTTTCCCTTCACACTCATACTACATAAGCCTCCACATCATGTGGCTTTCTTCAGGAAAGAAACAATACCAAACACTGCCAAACAATAAAGAGTGCAGGAAGCAATGAATCAAGTCCCTTAAAAAAATTTTTTTTTAAATAAAGTTATTTGAAATAAAACACGGAGGCACAAACTACTGGTAACTTGTTTGAGGTCTCTGCAGAATTATTCACTGCCTTCCATGATATCAGAATCACTGGGGAGGTAGTAACAGGCCTCATCTGTGACCAGGATTGCCAATAGCTATTGAATGAATGGAGCCTATATCCAGTTCCACACAAATGAAAACACAAAACTAAATGATGAGCCATTCTGCCGAGTATTTGTTTCTTCTTGTTTAATATAAAGTAAGAGAAGTGACTTTGAAAGTTGCCATGGCCATGCTTTTTCTGAGCAGCAGACTGAGACTCTAAGCAATGCATAAATGTACACACATGAGTGCAAACGTATGTTTTCTCCCTCTCTAGAAATGTGCTTGTGTGGATGACCGTGTGCGTGTGAGACACGTGCTACTTGAGAACAGACATCATTTTAACTACTTAGATGTTTGCTGGCACATTTTCAGAGTCCTCTGATGTTTCAGCAGAGGGCTGCCATGACAGAATTTTTGGGTGCCCTTTAGGGGGTTCCTAATCTTTCCAAGGTTATAGTGATAGATGAAACAGTCTGGCTTTCTCTGGGGATAAGTTAAGTGGAAATAATAACTGCTATACCACTCCTTAAGAATAAGAACAATTCAGGGGTGAAATGCTAGCATGCAATATTAGAAACATGAACATATATTGCCTAAAAGACTGGCAACTAAGTTGGAAGGCCCCTGATAAGCAAATTGATTTCTGGTTAAGACTCCTACCTGCTGAACCATTAAGATAATAGGGCTTGAAAAGCACTTAAATAGGAATTAAAGGTTAAAAAAAAATTTACTAGTTTCATTTAAAGTTTTAAAGCAGTAAGAACACCTGTCCAATTTTTCTTGCAAAGATCTGATAGAAGGCAATTTTATCCACAGTGTCACCTCTAATTCATACCAGTGCTAAGATAACATCCTTCTTTAGGTAAATTTGGCAAACCCAGAGCAATAGTGCTAATTCAGCTCCAACACAAGTCTTTGTTACAGTTCTCATTTCAGCTTAGGCAGCTCAGATAAGCTTATCACAGTGCTTTGAACTGATATTCTGGAATGGCACAATAGACCATATTACCAAGGAGAAACATTAATGAGCATCAATAAATGTTACTACCTTGAAAGAAGACACTTTAGCTCCAGAGTGTGCAAGGCAAGAAGTAAAATGAAAGATCTCCAAATTCCCTATGTATGATTAAAATCTAATCAGAATATGTGCAGATGCATTTTTAAGATATGCTACATGAAATTTAGCTGGAAAAATATAGTACTTCTATAGATAAGATCTCTTTTTTTCTGAAGAGGATAATCCACATGAACATTTAACTTAAATGTATATAAATAATACTCTTTCTGTTTGTCTTCCCTTGTTATTCAAAGATTAAATCCATTTTGAATTAACGAAAATGATTTAATCTTAAAAGCATTAGCAATCTCAATTTGGGCCTGTATTGAAATTACTAGCTTGAGAGCCCTTTGCAAACAAGGCCAGGCTCTATAACAAAATGATACCCAATGTCTCTTCTAAGGTTGTTTTCTAAAATCCGTGGGTTTTGATTCAAGAAGTCTTCATTCTCCCAAATCACATTAAAAAGGTTTGACATGATGACAGAGAGAGCAAAAAGAATTAATTTCTGCCAAATATGTACAGGCTACACTGCTGTTTTTTTGAAATCATCCTCCTCTTATTTTGTTTTGGTGAATTTCTAAGGGACATTTAAAATCCGTAGGACAGACCTTGGCTCAAGAGGTGGCCTCTCTGCCATTTTTCATGGCTGATTTGAGACCCATTATGCACTCGATTCTGCATTGTGAAATCCAGGCTGGGGACAAATTTCTGCCTGTCATCTTAGGAAAGGCCAGGAGTTTTGCACCATCCTGTAGTGTGAAAACAGAAAATCAAAGCCAGCATTGAGCTGCCTGCTTCTTTCCTGATCAGCTTGCTGCTTTTTTGAGGCAGTCTTGGCTGTCACTATCTCAGGCTGGGAAGGGTAATTTAGTAGAATAAAATATAGTTTAAATAGCATCTCCCCAGGGAAAGTTCTTCCTTACACTTAATATTGAATTCAGAAAGATAATCAGCAAGTAATCGTTTGATGCTTGGATAAGAACCACTGCACAGAGAAAGCATTCAGGAAGCAGAAAATCCGTTTTTAACCTGATAAGACCCTGAATCTGGAGCCAAGAGGCCGGGATATTTTCTTCATATTGCTCATTCTGCTGCAATGACATCCCCATAAAACTACAGTTTATGGACCAAATTTGCTGCACACCCTCACTCCACTAATATGATGTTAATAGCAGAGATAAAAATACATTACAAGAATTTTTAAATTTTTTAAACAGTTCATCGAAAATGACAGTGTGGATAACTCTGTCAATGACCTCTCCTGTCTAATGTCAGTTTCAGAAAACAAGTTTCCATTGTAAATGTTTAATCAGTGTAGTCCCAGGAACCCAGCACAGAAAACCTATCTTCTCTCCCAACTTATCTGCTCTGCAAGCTCTTTCCTAGGTCTATCTCAGCTCCCTGCAAATACTTTAGGCTTTTTTCTCTCAAAGGAGCCAGGCAGAAGCCCTGTGGTTTGATTCCATTAGTCTGAGCCTTGATCCTCTGCAAGCAAACTGCAGCATTTCTGCTTGCAAAGCCCTGGCAACCAGGTTCTAGAACTGCCACATGCCGGCTGCATACATTCTTCGATACTATTCTGCTCAAACCTTGCCTGAAGCCAGTCAACCACAGCAGAAAGCATCCTACCTTCCATCATGGTGGCAGAATTGCATTCCTTAATTTCCAAGGAGTCTGAAAAAACACAGGAGGATACGCTTCCAGGGCCCAGCTAGGTCCTCACACCGCTGCTGCTGAGGTCTGCTCTGTCCGCTGCTGAAGCCAAAGGAGACAAGTGTTAACCCGAAAGACAGGCCACGGATGCTGCTGGTGCTGCTTCACCTACAGGCTTCCAGGAAGATGCTGAGAGAAAGGGCGAGGAGCAGCAAGCCGGCCCGGCCGCACCGCCTGCGCTGCCTCGGCCAATCCGTTCGGCTCCGGACCGCGTCACATGGTAGCCAGCCTGCATCTCCTGACACAATACCCCCGGAGAGCACACAGAACCTATTTCCCGTCCCCGCTCCCCGCCACCCCCACCGTCTCCCGCTTGTCACCAAATGCATAGCCCCTTCCCCACCTGGTGACGCACTAACCCCCGCCCCTCCTGGTCGTCGTCTTAAGCCTATTGCAGCGCTGGGTGCCCGAGATTATCAGGCGCTGCCACCTTAACAGAGGACTCTGACATGAAAGGAGCACCCAGTGGCTCGCTGCGGAGGGGATTTTTTTTTTTTTTTTTTTTTTAAGAAAAACTTCTTAATAATTCCGTGCAGCCCGAAGTCCCAGCCGCACGTTTTTAAGTTCCCATTTCAATCTCCTTTTGCTCTGAAGGAATTCCAAATGTCACTGTCTGTGCCCCCCACCCCCCGCACACGACTGTGAGTTTCTCTCTCTCTCCTCCCCCCCCCCATTCAAGAGAGAAAAATCAACCTGGCTGACGTCACATTATAAACAATTACCCCCAAAAGGATGATGCAGAAGAAATTTCACCCCAGCTGCCTTCAGGAGAGCCAGGGAATTAATTGCGCATGACAAGCCGAAGGGCTGGAAACTGTCATTAAAACAAAGAAACAAAAGAACCCACCCGAGTGGGGCTCTGGAATCAAACTGGCACGCTCGAGATCGTCTCTGGGGCGGGAAACGGGAGGCAGGAGAGCAGGAGCGGAGGCCTCAGCCCGGCCGAGGACAGCTGTGCACGCGGGCTTCCTCCCACTCCGACCCGGGCCAGCCGGGACCCCGCGGGGCGCCGCTCCACCACCGGGTTCGAGTCCCGCCGCCACCGCGTCGTCCCCGCCGAGAGCACACGTGAGCCGCCTCGCTTGCCCAGGTGGGGAGCCGATCTCACAACCGGCTGTGGCTGCAGCTGCCAACTGCAGTCCCTGTAGGAAACGGACTTTCTTCTACGTGACAAGTTGTTCGCGACACGCCGCCTGCATCTGGAGTCGCCTTCAAGCCCATTCGTTGGCCTCAGTGGAAATAGGGAGGGAGGCAATTGTGCCCGGTTGTGGCCTGAGGTGGAGGGCTGAGAGCACAGGCTTTTGTATGGGATGGGATCTGGGTGCTGTGCAGCTGCCTGAGTGGGAAGGGTTATGGCACCTGGTCTGGTTGGGTTGACTGTCACCTGACTGCTCCTGGAAACCCCAGAGGCCTTTCAGAGGGTCCCAGGGTCCAACAATCCTCGGTTCCCTTCAAGCAGGCTCAGACCCCTAAGGAAGAAAAGGTCAGGGCGGTCTACTAGAGGAGAAGGAAGGGAGATGCGAGGGAAGGGAAAGACCTCTTTAGAACCCTGGAGAGGCAACAGCGGAAGTGGGCATATCTTCCTCTACAACTTCCCAACATGTCTAGGAGAAAAGCCATTACATTACAGAGCAGTTATGAGCGTCACATGAAAATGTACTCCAGGTAACTTGAAGAAGATGCGTTACATGATCAGGGTTGAGTCTCTAACACTATTATTGATCACTTCTATTATAAATATACCCATGAGCTTTTAATATTGCTCAGCCCTTCAGATAGTCTAGTTCCTTCTACCAGAGCAAATATGAAGTATTTGTGGCTGAGAAATACTAAAGAAAATATAACAAAAGAAGCTGACTAAAGTATCATATTAATAGCTAAAAACAAAATACAAAAATTCCATTCCTTAGCACCTTAGAAGTTTTTAAAAACCTATTGTTCTCCCTAAGGACACATATTTCAGGGGACTCCAAATTCCAAAATGAAAATCTCCAGGGAGATACAAATACTTGTGACTTTTTTCCTTATATCTTTAAGGCAGTTGAATTTTAAAAGGGGAATGAATTCCAAAGTAAAACTTGCCTTGAGTACAACTTACACTGCTCTGAAAACTGAAGGGGTATTATTTCAAAAAGGGTTGATTAGTAGTATGTGTGTATTTAGCAATTTTTTTTTATAATGGTTGAGAAAAGGGATAGATATTGGTGTCAAACAGACAGGATCAATTTCCGTCTTGAGACTTAGTGAGCTCATGACCCTGGGCAGGTTATGTAACTCTCTGTGCCTCCCAGTTGCCTTATCTTATCCATGAAATAGAGATAATAATAATAATAATAATACCAAGTTCATTGGGCGATAAATAGTAGTAATAAGCCTATACTAATGGCTTATTGTGTGTTGGGCAGTGTTCTAAATATTCTGCAAGTAAATTACTTAGCACTGAATTTGAAGCATAGTAAGCACTCCATGTTAGCCTTTTAGTATCAGTGTTATTACCAACGAAGGGCTGGCAGGTGCATTGGAGAAGTTTGCAGTCTACTGGAAATTGTATCACATGCACGAACAACTTAGTGAAAGACCAGGCGATGCATCCAGAGGTGAAACATGTTAGAGTTCTGACAGTCTGCTAAGCAGATGGGTAATTAGAACTCAACGAGATTAAATTAGGGAAGGTCTTCTTACAGAGATAGAATTTTAAAGTTCAAAAAAAATTTGGAACGGGCTTGGAGTGGCATTCTAAAGTCAGGGAGTTATAAATAAGAAAAAAGTCTCATGTAAAATCTGGAGGTGAGTGAGAGCACTGAGCTGCAGGAGGGGGTGCCATTCTTAGAGACATAAAGGAGCAGAGGAGCCAGGGAAACCCAGGCTGCCTGCCTTCCCCCTCCCAATGTCAGCTTCACAGTGGGTTAGGGCAAACCTCTCAGATAGACTTAGTTTGTGCACACACCAGCTTCATTTTAGACTTGCAGCAAGACAACCAGCTAAAGACAGAAAGTCAGTTCAAAAATTCTTTCGGTCAGTCAGTGTTTATAGAAAAGACAAAAGTATGTTAATAGGATTGTCAAAGAAGGACCAAGAAAGGGATGTGTAGTTATAAATAGTAAGGCTAATAATCCCAAGGCTGGATAAACTTCACTGCAACTTTATCAGCTGTGTGTGTTGCACACTTTAAAAAGAAGATCCTATTTCTAATTATAAGACTATCCAATAAATAAAGTTGCACTTCATATAATTACTTAAGTATGTTATCAGAAAAGATTAAGCATCCTAATTTTGTCTTCTCATAGGTTTTGGGGCGAAATGGTTTTGTTCAAGAACAAAGACAGTACTTGAAATTGTGGCCCAAATTTCATCACTTCATAAGTATAATTTTTTCTTGCCAGCAAGTAAAAAGGAGAATTTCTAGTTGCTAAAATGATAGAATGTTTTTTGCAAGTCTGCAATGGAAGTCAAAGAATCTGTCGAAAAGATTGAGTAAATTATTGACTCGCATCAAAGTGCATGGATTGCTGAGGATGGTGAATGTGTACCCAGATCATACCAGGCTCTCAGACAGTGTGTGTGACTAGTCTAAGACCAAAAACTTAATTGCCAAAGTGATTATACATTTAAAAGGTTTTTTTCCGAGATAATATTTGTATGGTAGTGATGCCCTGTTATGTGTATGTGTTTTGGAATCAAATCCTTTTATATTCTTACTATAAACGTTGAATTTCTTCACTATCTCCCAATTTTGGTGTTTGGGGGGAAATCTGTTTATATTTTAGAAAGAGAAAGAAGATAATGAGAATTGAGTCATAAAAGAAGGCTGAAAGAAAATTAACAAAGGGGAAAGTTTTAAAAATGGATCTACATATATATGTATATATATATTTTTTCCCAAGGTAGTGATCGCAGCACTAGATTTGACTCTGCCCCTGTGCTATTCCCATTGAGGTAATTCAATGAATGCAGAAGGGAAAATATTGTCGAAGCTCTGGAAATTAGCAAAGGCTCTCACTTGGGGGTTGGATTTCCATGGGATGATATAGGTGAAAGAGAGAGATGAGGGTACTTCAAAATGTTTGTGGAAAAATAGAATTGAAAGATAGTAAGAATCTTTCTATGAACTTTTTGAAGTATCCTTGTACATATATCTGCCCATACTCACTATACTCTTGGGAAAAATGAAAGAACTTCAACTTGAACTAACATGGGCAAAAAGGGGATTTATTGAGGTAGCTCACAGAATTATAGGAAGAGTTGAGCAGCTGAGGAAAAGCATAAACCAGGACACTCCAGGAAACTTTGTCTCCAGAACCAAATACTCAGAACTCTCTTTGTTTCTCCCAGGATGTCAGCTCCTTTTCTCTTACTAGTTTGTCTCCACGTGACCAGGAATCTGACCATTAGCACCCTCTAAACTCACATCTTCACAACTTGACTATCCAAGATGTCCTTCCAAAAAACTTCCAGGGAAGGACTCTGATTGACCTGGCTTGTATCATTTTTCACCCTTCGGACCAATCAATGGGGCCATGTTGATGAAGTCTCGTGATGGATCTATTCAAACCAAAACTTGCTTTGGACTTAGCCCGTGTCCACTTCTATAACTAAACTTGGGGAGGAAGAAAGGCAAGTTTCTATGACAGATGACACTTAACAGTATGAGCCCCTACTATGATTGGAGGGGTAGAGGAAACACTGTCGCAGGAAGGAAGGGTGCTATTATCAGAATATGAGGGGAGAGAAACTATGAAACAAAAACTATTCGCCACATAGACATTACTCAGTGTACCTAAGATAGAGCTCACAAAAGGACTCATGGTCGCAGAAGGACTCAGAATGCCACATTAATCCCATGCAACATACTTGGGAGGCTATTTATAGAAGCCCACTCATTACATCTAGAGAGAAACCTGAAGACCCTGTAGTCATCCTCCTCCTCAGTGGGGGACAGACCCTACTTGCTGGCCAACTTACACCAAAGACAAGACACGCCCTGGTATGCTCCCCACCATTGGTCCATCCCTGCTCAGAGAGCCACATAATCATACCTACATGAGTGCTGAAGGAACCTGAACAGTTCAAGAGACTAGAAAAGGAGAAAAACCTCCAAAATTCACTTTAAGAATTACAAAACATGACAAAAATAATAAAAAGTAGACTATAGACCAATCTCACTTATGGATATTGATGCAAAAAATTTTAAACAAAATAATAGCAAACACAATCCAGCTTTTCAAAAACATCACATATATATATATATATATATATATATATATATATATACATATATCACAA